GAGGAGTGAATTCCCCACCAGACGATTAGAGACTAACGCTCATCGTCCTTTGAACAGACATGAAGCATTCTGCAGGTCCACGTCGATGAGACGAGAATGAAGGGTTAGAAGTGTGCATGTACAGATCGATTATGAATAGGTCATTCAGGGCTTATGTGATTCAAAGTAAGTTCATCAACCTTAATCCCAGCAGTGTTTTTAGTTTCATGCATTGTTCATCAAATCTGTCACCTGAACATTCCTTAATTTAATGTCAGTTAGTGGTTCTTTACTACCTCTTCCTCCCATGAATTATGGTTAATTAGCTATATCATTAACCACCATTCATGCAGTATTACTGATTACATTTGAGTAGTGGTGACTAAATACTAACATTAATTAATGTGTGATGATTTGATCTCTTTCTATTCTATATTCATTCGGTGCCTTTAAAAGGTGACATTAATGTTGTTCTCTACTTCAATGATTTCACCAGGGACAAATAAAGGAAGGTTTTTGATGATCTCCTGACTGACTCGGAGTGCCTTTGTTTGTTGCACGTTGACTTCATGGGATCTCTTACATAAGGAGCCAAACTTGCAGTCTACCTGGAGATGGTGCTGGCAGATGTGAAGCTTGGTGCATGCGGTGGTGAATTTGCAGGAACCGTGAAAACCATTTACTTTGTTGTAATGTGGGCAAATCTGGAAAGGGGGCACACGTCATGGAAGGAAACACATCGGGCAGTTCATTCAGAAAATACCTACATAACACATCATCAACAAATCCACCTCTGCCTCCTACCGTCACTAGTGCAACTTACCTCAGGAAGTAGGTAAGGATCATTCTGCAGTAACAGCTGGAACAGCTGTTTCTCTGTCAAATCCTGAAGATCATGTCTTCTCAGAATCCCAGCGTTGTACGCATCATCCAGGCTGTGGGGATTTTACACTTGAGTCTGAAAAAAATGAAGAAAATATTATGTCAGTGAACGGAATCCATTTAACCTTTCTCAATATGGCTTATGGAGTTTGGAAAGTTAAACGTTTGACTTCTTTGAAGTTATATAACTAAATGGACTATAACCTGTTTCCGTCCATAGGGGGCAATATAAGGCAACACTGTGCGATTGTTTACTTGCAGTGCCGAGTCCTTTAAAACAGTGGTCCCCAACCACCACAGAAAGCTTATATATATTTTTTTTCTGAAAAATGTTTTATTTTGAAAATTGACCGGATTTTTTCCTAATTATGTGCGCTCGTCCCTCTGACATATTCCCCACGCGTCACCAGGCGTTTTTCTTGTCCTTTTACCGTGCACGGCAGTTTTACCGACCAGCGAACTAAAGATTAGCGCTGTGTCAGCACCCAGTTGTGTATGTATATATAAGACACAAATAAACTAATAAAACTAAATAAACTAAAACCAATAAGTATGTCCGCCTGCCACAGATCGAACGACAAGTCACGGCACCTCGCACAGAACTCACCCGAACGTGCATTCTCCGCAAACGTAAAACTTGCAGATGTGCAAGGCGTCGCAGCGGGGACATTCCCCGGGTCTCCTCTGGCAGACCCGCAGGCTGCTTTTGGCCACGATCAGACTGTCCCGGCGAGTATTTGTCCCCCGGCGACTCTCTATCGGCCCTCCCGGATGGATACTTTGGCGTCGTCGAAGAGGACGACCTGCGGGACCGAATTTGCGACGGTGAACTTCTGCACGATCTCCTCGTCCAGACGCTGGAAGTCCAAACTTCCCCGGAGGTCGCACAGGGTCTTGACGACGAACTTGGAGATGACCGAAGTCATCCTGCTGGGAGTTTCGATGGCGGACTGGTCGTCGGCTCCTCGCAGGCACAGCTGGTGAAATGAAGTGAAACTTGAAAAACAAACAACCAAGCGGACGGAAAGACGCGATGGGAGAAAAAAAATGCAATATTCTAATCTAAAATATACATTAACATAAATATTGTGTTATTTCCCAACGTTTCATTCTATTGGATCGTGTGGTGATTTTCAACGAGCCGCAATCACCTGGGGACTGCCCGCTGATCACGTGACAGCACACACGCCCTAGCAACCACAGCAGTGGTTTCAGTGTACCATAGCAACCATGGAGGACGAGCTTTCGTTGACGGAGGAACAAGAGGTCGCACAAGGACAAAAAACTCCACCACGGAGCCTCCAACCTGGAGGGTGGGGTTAGTGCACCCAGTGACAAGACTGGATGTAAATATATATATATATATATATATATATATATATATATATATATATATATATATATATATATATATATATATATATATATATATATATATATATATATATATATATATATTTCTTGTTTTCGTTATTATCCAACGACATCCAACGATGTTTGGTCATCGTTGGAGCTTTAATCCTTATCACGTTTTACTTTTGTTTTTCCGCGTTTGTAGTTCGTGTTTCTGATAATGTCAAACCATTAATCTGTTTCCTTAATCTTTATATAACGATTTTATGTTGAATAAAACTTTATGCCCACTACTGTATTGTTTTATATATGACACTGCAACTGTCAAATGTCTCTCTTTTCGGTCATCTGGTCTTCTATTTTCTCTGACCAAACTGCAATGCGAATGTGGTAGATGAATTTACCAGATAGTTGGATTAAATGATCAAACCAACTTGTTATTTAACTAATCACAGCACTAAAACATCACATCAATCAGAACTTTTTAAATATTTTACTGTGGATATATATATATATATATATATATATATATATATATATATATATATATATATATATATATATATATATATATATATATATTCACATATATGTAACGTTTGGTGTACGTCAGATTTAGAGCTCCAACACAACCAGCCCACGATGAATTTGAATACGTTTGGGGGTTGAACCTGCTCCATATTAGCAATCCGTTTTTTGTTTGCGTCTCTCCTGCGGCTGACCTCAGAACAAAAGCTTTACGTGGCCCAGAGAGAAGTAACGGACGCCCGAGCAGACCTGGAGAAAGCCTGGCAGAGATGTGAGAGAGTTCAGGACCACTACAAGGTAGAAAACCAAGATGGAACGCACACCTTCGGAACATTTTGTCCTCAGTGACTCTGCTCGTCTCTGCAGGCCCCTATGGAAAAAGCAGAATGGCATCTCGCAGATATCAGGAAGGCGAAGAAAAAGTTTGAAAGTAAAGCGCTCAAACCCCTGCAGGACAAGAGGTTGGAAGTAAAGGAGCCGGAGAAGGTGCTTCAGTACATAAAAGACAAGTCAAAGGTAGAAACGCTAGTTTTTATGACACAAGTCAGTGCAAAGGACAAAGCTAGACTTTAGTTTATTGTTTTTTATTATCGTCAGCAACTGCATTAGCCTCTCCAACTTAAAATGCCATCTTAGCACGATTAGCCGTATCCAGTCCACATCACGTTTTCTCAGGTTGTCTTATGTTTGATTCCCACATACGTGTGAACCTTTACTATCGTATACTGATGCTTTGGTGATCGAGTTCAATGTCTCTGCTCGGTTCACAAACAGGTCGCCCAAATGGAGAAGTTTCATCGGAAGAACCGGACACTGCAGGCCTATAAGAAAAAGCTCCAGCAGCAGCTCCAACAGAAGAAGGAGACGGGAAAAGCCGAGTGCGAGGTGGACCATGAAAGTTGTATCATCTCAATCAGATTAGTGTCAACAGGAGAAGCTGCAGAGTGTGACGGCGGAGGCTGCGCAGCTGAGCAATGACATCACCAACAGGAAGCAGCTGCTGACGAGCCGACGAGGTCCGTCGCTCTTCAAAAACAAAACAGATTTTCAAGCCCAATGCTGCAATTTCAAATGCATGGAACCAATTAAAACTCCCAATTTCTTTTTCTCTCTTCAAACAAGAATCACCTTCCGCTAATTCAGTTGGTTTCCTTTTATATCTTCTACTTTATTTGCTCTCCCTTCAGGAGCGCTCTAAAGCAGAGGCCCTGAACAAACACCTGCGCCGCCAGATGACGGATTATCGGGCCCCCGACGTCACGCAGTACATGGACATCAAAGACAGACACACAAAGCTGCAGCGGAGCATCCACATGTGGGAGAGGAGGTCTGGGATCACCGAGGTAAACGCAGTTTAGATTGTTGTGCCACGTCGAGCTTCAGGCCAGCTGAAGAAGAAAAAAAAAAGAAAAACCTGCCGAGTGGCGGTGCTGAAAACAATGTGCGCTCTCTTCTCTGATATCAGCAGTTGGCCCTGAAGAGCCGGAGCACACTGAGAACCACTCTCACTCCTGCAGGCAGAACCGGGCAGGAAATACAAGTGGGGGGCAACCGATCTCCCTAAAGCTCCCACACATAGCAGAAAACAACACAGCGAGAACAAGAGAAGCAGAAAGCCTGCTGGGGTCATAAAAGGCAACAGAGCACAGTGTGTGGCAGAAAGACACCTTGATGCTGTTACTTAAACACTCTGTTGCACAACATTACAACCACAAAGCTGCTCATTTGTTTGGTCATCGTTGGAGCTTTAATCCTTATCACGTTTTACTTTTGTTTTTCCGCGTTTGTAGTTCGTGTTTCTGATAATGTCAAACCATTAATCTGTTTCCTTAATCTTTATATAACGATTTTATGTTGAATAAAACTTTATGCCCACTACTATATTGTTTTATATATGACACTGCAACTGTCAAATGTCTCTCTTTTCGGTCATCTGGTCTTCTATTTTCTCTGACCAAACTGCAATGCGAATGTGGTAGATGAATTTACCAGATAGTTGGATTAAATGATCAAACCAACTTGTTATTTAACTAATCACAGCACTAAAACATCACATCAATCAGAACTTTTTAAATATTTTACTGTGGATTGGCCAACTTAAGTAGCAACAGCTTTAACAATTGAAGTACATTATAGTTTTGAAATTGGGACTTTTTTAAATTTAAATTATATTACAACATCTTCCACAACTGACTACAAATGAACTAAAGCTGAAGTTATTCAATATGAAAAAGCAAAGTAAAAAAAAAAACACCTTGGACTTGACAAACTATTTCCTTTATTAGAAAGAAATCCATTGAGGTATAAGCCCTCGAAGAACTCTAAATGTTATGATGCAACATGCCATATATACAGTTATATACATAAAAGTGCAATGTCACAATGGGTAAGCTTTTCATTATTCATTCTGCCTTATAACTGTCTGGAAAAGGGCATCGTTACTTATTCATGGTCTTCCTGGGCTGCATATTCTCAAAAGAAAACAGAATGACATGAAAATGCAACAGTACACAATGTCTGGAGTTTGTCTAAAACATTTTTCAAAAGGCACTTACCGGTACATAACACGTACAAGTACATCCTACAGACGTACGGGACAGCAGAGAAGCTAAAAGCCTACAGACGGCGTCACGCAGTCCTACTGATGATGGTGACGTAACATAGTGACAAAAGCACTTCTTTTTATTATAACTGGATTCATACTGCATCTCTGGATGTTTATTACCAAGTCATTTCTATCCAGAAACGCAACAAACAAACAAAAAAGAAAAAAGTTAGTAAGTCAGATTGTAATCTTCTTTTGACTATTATACACACACACACACACACACACACACACACACACACACACACACACACACACACACACACACACACACACACACACACACACGCACACACGCACACACAGTACATTTAAGAGACACAGCAGAAGGTTGTGCATTGCCAAGGAAAGTTGCTGACACGCCAGTGAAGAAAGCACACTGCTAATCAAACTACTATCTATGAACAGACTATTGGTAGTTAACGGCTCTTCAGGCCCCTAATCAGTCGGATCTTTTCCAAACCATTCCTGTCCAGGTAGTTACAGCACCTTTATAATAGTTTAACATGTGAAATCTGTTACGTCTCAAAGTCAAAAAGGGCTCGCGGCCGGCGCACAACCGCTTTGAAAGCCCTCCTACGTAAAAGAAAACAAAAACAAAAGTCCTTTAGTCCGGGATAAGAGAGAACGGCGCTGCGGTCACTACAGCCCTCATCAAGCTCCCTCTCCGGTCCGGTGGCGAAGCGGCGGCGCTACATGCGGCGTGTTCTGCTCAAAGTTACAGTTCATGAATGTCCTCAAACTAAACTAAACTAGTGTACGTTTTCTAAAACCCCGAAGGAAGCCTTTGTGATTTGTTGTTTTCGAATTTCCTTAGACATTTGTTACCACGGAGGAGCATTTTCGCAGCCTTCATGGAGGCTCATTGTCTTTGCTTCACATCGCCGGTTCCCTTCCCGGAGCTACATGGTGCAGGACTTGTCCAGAGGGTCCTGGGCAGCTGAGGCTGCCGGCTGGGAGGCCTGGCTGGACCTGGGCAGGAGCATGGGCTTGGGCCTCAGGGCGGGGGGCTTCAGCTGCACCCCCATGCGGGGTGCTACCAGGGGCTTGAAGGTGCTCATGGTGTCGTTGGAGGAGCTGATGCTGTGGCGGATGGTGGCGGCGGTGGCGCCGTGGATGGGGCTGAGGGACTCGCTGGAGCTGGCCGGCGTGGGACCCCCGCCGCTGCCGCCAGAGGTCTGCCGCTGCTCCAGGGTGTCCAGCACCACGTCGGGCGCGTGCTTGGCCGAGCTCTGGCGCTCCAGCTCGCGCAGCTCATTCAGAGCGGTGTTCATGGTTTCTTCTATGTCCTGCAGGAGACACGAGAGAGTGTGTGTAAGAGAGAGGAAGGTTGGGATAAAAACAAACAAACGCAGAAAACCAAAAAGAAGAGAAGAAAAGAACCGGGAGGTTAGATGAAGAGCAGAGACGAGAGGTGGAAATAGAGTGCGGCATCTTAGGGAAACACAAAAAGCGATGTTAACAGAGGACCACAGTGACGTTTTCCTTTTTTAAGGAAACGCCAAGCATGCATTATACATGGAGAGCTAGTGGAGTGTTACTTTGCACCGGCGAAGTGCAAAGACCTCTCCCTCTGCATGCTAATGACTTTGGATAGAGGTCCCAAACCACCGGGGCGCGGACCGCTACCGGCTATTTGATATCGGGCCGCGCTACAGAAAGAACTGTTTGGTTTTGAAAATTGAGGCAAAAAAGGTTGGGGACCACTGGCGTAAGAGACACACGGAGGACAAGACGTGTGTATCTGAGCATGCTCCCAGTAGCCAGACAGCCCTGCACAGCTTAAAGTGCTCTCTGCGACCTCGACTTCTCTATAATATGCAAGTATGTGATGACAAACTCAGTAGAGATGCAAAAATGGATCGTGCAATATCGTGCAACGAGTAGCGGTTTCTTGCGACGCTGTCTGCCCAGAGTTTCTTGCGTGTTTTTTTGCACACGGAAAGGCGCAGCGAGAGGAAGCACAGGACAGGGACTGACTAGGTTTTTACAGGGCGGGGCAGGGCTTTGATGGTGGAGGGAGCTGCGGTCGGGTCGCTGCTCGTCCCGCGCTGACCTGTGCGATGGTCTCCGGGTCGAGGGGCTTGCCGCCGTGGTGGTGGTGATGGTGGTGGTGGTGGTGGGCGTCGGCGAAGCCCGCGTACTGGCCCGAGGAGGTGGAGCGGTGGATCGGGGGGCTCTCCATCTTCTTCAGCGCCTCGTTGCGGCTGATGTTAGTCAGACTGCCTTGGCCGGTGCGGCGGCGCTCGGGGCTGTCCACGGGGGCGTGGCGACTCCGCAGCACGTCCCGCAGGCTGAGGTGGCCGATGACCGGGGAGCCCATCTCGGGGGTGTGTCCTTCGTGGCCATGCTGGGAGGGATGCACCACGCAGTGGGCGTCGCTGGGGCGGGCTGGCGGCCGCCGAGACGGTGGTTCGGATCTTTTCCTGTGCCTGCTGGGACGGAGGAGCAGGGAGGAAACAACACAGCACATTATTTGTTTATTCCATTACAGCATTGCATTTCTTACCCGAGCACTGCGTTTGAGTTTTGTGGTTTGTGTTTTCAAACAGAGCTATTGCTCCACTTTGCATCTCCCAACTTAAAAGAAGGGGCTGCACAGAACATCTTTTACACAAAAAACCCCCACACTACCGGAAAAAAGAAAAGAAATCGTCAGTTGCATAATAGGAACCCAGCTCCGAGCAGCATATCTCCCACTGGGAGGAGCAACATCTGCCCCAGGAGTGCAGATGTTTCCAATATGCACAGCACCACACACGCCTGCTATGAGACCCATTTGAAACGAGACCGAGCTGAAGATGAGTACAGTACATACGTCTGATTGAAGGCACACACACTTCATACTACACAGCGTAGCTACTCACATTGTTTTACCACACTAATATCTTCCATTACACCATAAAAGGCCAATAAAGCACCAAATTCTCTCTGCAGGCTCTGCATGATCATGACCAAGCACATATCATCCCTTTCAGTCTAGCATGAGCACGTACAACCAGTGAGGGATCATTGAGGGAATCTAATAATATACTAGTTACCCGACATTTCTTACGTAACATCTCATGCAAGGTCAATAAGAGACTTGAAATGTAATGTGAATATTACGTAGTCACTCTTTTAGTTGGTGTAACATTTTCTGAAATAGAGACACCTTGAAAGTAAGAAATATCGACCATCTGAAGGCTGATACGTGGCGGATTAACTATTTTAATTCTGCATCATTGGTTCTTTGTGATGATGAACAAGCATTGAAGTGCTCATCATTAAATTTCACTTCTTTCTGGCAAATGGCTTAATTTGAGAGTCTAACGAACGCCGTCGATTCACACGCGGCGTCGTCGTGGCGCTCAACTAGAATCAATAATGAGAACGGATATTACTCCCAGACTAACCGCTACTCTTCGTCCAAAGCTACACAAAGCTGCTAATCTCTGCATTAATCAGAAAGTCTCACGTCAATCCAAACAGCAGTGTTTGCTTGTGTAACACTCTGAAACATCATTAGGAATTCACGGACACAAAAAGCTCTAACGATGACAGTTAAAGACTCCTTGGTGGAGCGGTTAAATATGTATTTTTCTGACTGCAGTGAGGACTCTGGATCGGTAAACAACTGCAGGCACCACCGGCAGCCAGCGGGGGGAGCAGTCTGCGTTCACAAGACCTGTGTGCCTCTGGGCCAAAGCATACAACAACAAGCATTGACTGCCGGGTGAGCTGTCACCACGGCGATGGCTCACCCGCCGTTTTTTTGTGGCCCCTGCTAAAAATAAGGCTTATCGCAGGGAATTCCAGGAGCTCATCCCCATCCCAACAGCACCAGCTCCACTAGTCAGTATGATCCCCGGAATGCGCATCCTCTCTACTGAGAGAGGCGCTAATGTAACTGTCATGTCTGCTGACGCCAAACTCTACAAGAGTCTGGAGAGAGTGTTGTTGATTGAGAACACGAGGAGAGGAGAATATCTAAATAAAGCTCAGGGAATAAATGATTCAACGCATATAAGAATTGTCTGAATTTTAGAGCAGAAAAGTAAGTACGAGGAGGAGCGGGTTAGATGGGAAGGAGATGAAGAGCGAGGTGGGCGTCCCTAAGGAGCTGCTGGCAGGTAGAGGAGCTTTCTCAAGGCCGCCGTGACATAGATGAGTCATTCACATGTGCGCTCCCTCTGCATATGAATTCCAGCAGCGGTGTGTATATATACACCACCTTTAGTGTGAATCATCAGGTTATCCACAGTGAAGTAGAGGCAGTGAGTGTGACACGGCTTAAATAGCATTCGCTAAGAGACGCTTCAAGGTCGCTAACGCTGCCGTCAGAGCTGCTGCAGCAGCGAAGACAAAGTTCTGGCTCGCCAGCAGCAGACGGACGCTGCCAAACGGCCGAAGGTGTGACTAGATACGTGCAGGTCTCCTCTGTGTGGGGTGCCGCTGCCCGGGCACGTGTATGTTAGTGTGACCAGTTGAAGTCATGTCATATCAGGATGAAATAGATGGGAGAGGTGGATTCTGCCGAGGACGCCGACTGACAGGAGGCTGCATATGTAAACAGGAAGAATTGGGAGCAAAAGGTAAAAAACTAGGTGTTTTCAGCAATGTGCGATAGTACAATTCAAAATACCTAAATAAAACATTTTAAGTTTGTTCATCTTCCGAGAGTCTGGAGTGTCAGCGATGGTTTTCACACCTGAAGCCGTTGCATGCATCCTAAGTGATGCAATACTGACGTTGTTGCAGACATGTCAGTCGCTATTGGATTGCCCAATATTTCTCATTAGCTAGAGCCAATGGGAAGTGCAGGATGTGGTGTGGTCACCATGGAGACAGGAAGACTCAGACTTATTTACACATTAAGATGCATTATAACCATTACAAGGATGTGCCTGGATTTATAGTGTGTCCAAAGAGCAACTAAAATATAAAATTAACTAGTTATTAAAATCCTTTTTTTTTAACTTTCTTTGGCTGAACACCGATCTCCTAATTCCAAAAACACAGTATAGATTTTCCAGGGAAATACGCCAAATACAGCAAAGATTTAAAGAATGCAAAGATTGTTAAGATGACAGATCGCTAATATGAAGTCCCTTCGTATGTGCATTGCTGTCCAACAAATCCCAGCGTAGATATCCAACCTGGTGATATAAGCCTCAGAGATCCTGGTGTCAGAGGGCGAGCCAACGTCTTTTCCCAGGCCTTTATCCTCTCCGGCGTGGCCGCTGCTGGCCTCGCTGTCCGCCTTCTGACTCAGGCTGTCTGAGAAACTGTCATCTCTGAGTGACATTCAGACACAGAAAGAGTGAGAGGAAGTGACAGAAAAAGCAGAAGAAAACGGAGGAATCAGCAAATTGGTAGATCTTTCATATTTGCACAGCACTTGGTGACTTGGTACACGGTGACAGTCTGCGATATCGGTTTCCTGCGAGTCAGCAAGTAGCTGCCTCCTCCGCGCCCCCAAGGTCCAGAGAGTCACATGAGTCATATTCCAGGGCCTTTCTGGATTTTGGTGATATACACACACACCAGCTATTTGGGTTTCAGCGAGGAGACTGGCTGACTGACTGGGTTCAGTTGGTGCCGGTCAGGTGGCAGGAAACGGAGCCACTGAGCTGCACGGCTGCCTTTTGATGTGCGTCATTTGAAATGAAACGCAGGGCGTCCGCATGAAGGCACACAGACGGAGGCGGAGCAGCGGCGGCCACATCGCCGCGGCGCTGAACCCAATTTACAGTTGGTCATGAGAGAGTATGAGAGGGACATCCTGTGCTGAAGTGGCCTCAGTCAGACGTGTCTCTGCACGTTTTATTCTGGGCTCTTTTATGGGATGAGGCAAGTTCACAACCCTTTGAGCTCTGTGCGGTTTGAGCAGAGAGCAGGATGTTACTACGCTCAGGGGAAACCCGTGCAGCTGTAAATCCTACGGCTCTCTCATTACCTAAGAGGACCCCCCCCCATTCCCCCTGCTGAATTATTGACGGAGGAACAGTGGCGGCAGGTGAGCAGCAGCGGAAAAAGGGGAGAGCTTGCTAAATGGACCCTTTTTCCAGCCACTAAGTGATTGGAGCGATTCTGTTCCCGTTCTTAACGCGACAGTGAATCCGGTCCATTAGGCAGCGGCGGATGCTCGTTAGTGCCGAGAACGGCTGGTCGAGCACAGGGGGGGGGGATTGACCGCGTGGCGCTCATCCCGCGGCGAGAGCCGGCGGACCGCGACGCTCCGGCAGCAGCTGACATTCACACAGCGAACCACCTGTAGAATCATTTCACGATGTCAAACCGGCCCGATCAGCACACTTACATGTCTTGGACCACGATGTACTGGTGCGGCACCAGGCCATCGATGCCGTTGTGCCGTCCCTCCCACCAGTCGTCTGACGCCCGCTGGTACAGCAGCAGCGAGGCGCCCTTCTTGAAGGACAACTCTCGGGACGAGCGGCCAACGTAGTCGAACTTGGCGATGGCTTCAATGGGCTCGCCCTCTGTCAACAGGTAGAGGATTACACAGGTCAGGCGGCTATTATCGCACGAGCAGACATATTATAGTTCTAAGTCAATATTTAACTCGGCTCTACCTCGCCGAGCGGCCCGGGGAAACTGCAGGCCCGGAAAAGAGCTTTAGCATGATTTCGTTTTAAGAAGCTGGTATGATGAGATCAGGAATCACGACGTACAATGCCGCGGTGATTTTAAACTTCCATCACTTAACTGAAAGTCTGTCTTTTATTTACTTCTGTCCTTCAAGAGCAGCAACAGTGGACTCATATTCAAAAGGTTCACATCTCCCAGGATGTACGCATGTTCTATACTATAGAAGCTATTTTTAGCAACACCGGTCTAAAAATAGCTTCTTTATCCCACCCTCTTTACCTTACTCCCACCTCTGCCCTCCTCCCAGCTCACCATATAGTCAGACCGACCCCCCGGAAAGACTTACACCCCACCCTGCGCTCACACAGGCTCTCTGTACACTGCGAACAAAGTAAATGGCTGTAGCCTGTTTTGGCTCGGAAAGCCATCATGGATCTTTCTCAGGATGTGACTCCTTGATGAGCCGAGAGGCCATGTGATGGATAAAACACCTGACCTGATTCATTTCTTTCACTGTCCTATTCAACCTCTTCTAATATCTACGCATCCAACTTTTCACTTCGCTCCGTTCCTTGCTTGACTAGATGGTCAGGATTGATGGGGCGCGTGTGACGTTGCTCCAGTAAAATTCGACAAGCAGGAATTTACTATCAAGATTAATTGGGCTGCGCTGCAGCTGACCAGGCTGGTAATAGAGTTGACAGAACCTTTATCTTCTCTCTCTCTCTCTCTCTCTCTCTCTCTCTCTCACACACACACACACACACACACACACACACACACACACACACACACACACACACACACACACACACACACACACACACACACACACACACACACACACACACACAGTACATTTAAGAGACACAGCAGAAGGTTGTGCATTGCCAAGGAAAGTTGCTGACACGCCAGTGAAGAAAGCACACTGCTAATCAAACTACTATCTATGAACAGACTATTGGTAGTTAACGGCTCTTCAGGCCCCTAATCAGTCGGATCTTTTCCAAACCATTCCTGTCCAGGTAGTTACAGCACACAAAAAAAAAGACAGGAAGAGGGTCGGAAATCCCAAGGTTGCAGGGATTTAAAACTTGCGACAATAACTTGACCCCAGCTCAAGACTCAGTCGGGAGGGGCTCCAATCAGTGAGGACATCCTTCCAGTGTTATCAGAAAAGCCTTTTGATCAAAACTACGGCAGCAAGGGATCTCTGGGAGACATAATCTCCCATTATTTAATCAAAGAGTTGATGGCTGCCATCTGTTTTTCAGTGGGAATCTTCACCGAGAGCAGCCTCCTTGTTGCATCAGATGTGTTTTTCTTTATAAAGGACATCCAGTCGATTACTTTCATCCCAAGCTGATATAAAGAAAAGACCTCCACGAGATCTCGGGACTGATGACGTAAGGTGACAGGAAGCTGTCTCCTGATATCTCATCTCTGGGTGTGAAAAGGAGACGGGATTGGGGCAGTTGTCACCATGGAAACAGGATAAGGGAAGTCTGTTGGTGAGGTGAGATGTGAAGCCTCAACTCCACCGAACTCTCTTTCTGCCTGATGTTGTCTGCTCTGTGTCTCGGATATTTGTCACTTTTTAATTAGATTTTTTTTTTGCAGTACGTCTGACCACGGCTGATGTTTTGGTTTCAACCAACACATGAACTATTTGAGTTGGATCAGACCAGCTGTATTGATTTCACTCAAACAAAGGACCACGTGTATGATCACGGAGTGTGTAAATGAGCCTCCTATTTCTTTGGGACACATGGAAATGTAGGTAAATGAAGCATAAACTCAGAAGTATTCTATTTAGACAGCTATTAAAACCTGGCACTTTTGAAACATACTGCATAGATGACTAGATGTCTATTACATATTACTGGAAAAATGTTTAACGGGAATAGGAAATTTTAACCACGACTGTCAGTCTTAGTGTTGACCACCATGCAATTGGAAAAAACGTAAATGGAAAAAACAAAAATAAAAAGAAGTGTCTTGTGGCCCCCGAGGGAGAAGCAAAATCATTAGAATATGAATGGCTGTCCATCACTGTGAGCCCAGTTCCCCGGCCCTTCAAGGGCACTGCATTTAACAGGCTGAAAAGCAGGATTAGCTGCAGTGAGATGAGCCGAGGACTGACCCCTTGCACAATAGTGAACAATGCGGTTTTCGAACCGCTGTTTGGTCGAACATAAATGGTGCAAAAAGGATAAAATCCAGACATATGATTTTGTTTGTACTACATGCACGTTTCTGCCGTTACTCACCGTCCTCGCTGGTGTGCGCCTCCGTCCCTCCCTCGTTTTCCACTTCCTCCAGGGCTCCATGCTCACTGTAGGGGCTCTCACTGTGGGGGAGAACATGCAAACTGTCAGGATCACAGCCGAGGCAGCGTCACGGGTCGAGAGACAGTTTCAAAACAGGAAAAGGCCCAGATCTCTTTCATCGCTGTCTTATCCTTTGAAGAAATTAATGTTTTTTTTGAAGACACCATCTTCTAATTTAGCTTGAAACATAAGACATAAGACATAAGACAAATTCCAAAGTCAAACCGCATTTCAGTGAAGAAGCCAAGGAGGAATGGAAGTTATTAAAAAAAAAAAATCCAGAATCCAGAAGAGGTTCACATAGAGGTCATTGTTCTGATGGAGGCTTACACGCTCTGTCTGTGGTTGGGCCTCTTTTTCTAAATGGGCTTCTTCTAGCATCGTGTTGAGTGAGTTGGCAGTAATGACACACACGCGGCAGCCAAGACAACAAATCTCCCCGGTGGGGGGGGCTATATTTAAGAGGGGGGCAGACATGGTTGTGCTGAGACGACCAGCCAGGGATAAATCCCCGTCAGGTGGTGGCAATGTGAGGGAACGAGAGAGTAGAACCCGATTAAGAATCAAGCTATAAGCACTGCTTACAGATGTGGAGCTGACGAAGGGCCCGTTGATTCAAGCAAATCACCTAATTACCCTTTCCCTTCCTTGTGACCTCTCTTTCCCTTCCTGCCACGATCAAGGTAATCAAAGTGATTGTTTCAGCTTCTAGCGAGGTCTGTGCTGAAACATGCGCCACCTTGTCATTTCCCTGAACCACAGACGCGTACATGTATCAACTACACGGACATACTCCCGACACAGCTGCACCATTGAGAGCTCACGCATACCTGCATGCTGAGTGAGCCCCTGTTAAAGGAGGTCTGGCCTGTGCTCCATTGAGGGTACGGGGGGAAAAATGAAATAAGAGAAGCTCTGGCTTCTCTCCAAGTCTTAAACCTACATGTTAAAGAAATGTGTGCAGCTGCACGGAGCAATCTCATCAGAATTCTTTCCATCTTCCTTTTTAATCATGGATTACCCACAAATTGATCAGGCGGCGGCGACGCGGCGGCCCGGCAGCTAGACAGTGTGCGCATTGTCAAAAAGCAGAAGTTGATGCGCTTATAGAGACATTGGAGCCTCTCAAACACCCAACTGAATCACGACCGGAAGAATGACGTCCTATTTCGGATAGCAAAAAACAATCTACAGGACCCGTTCCTCACCAATAGTCTCCCCCGGCCATACACTTCTCGTAGATGGGCCCTTCCAGTTCTTTGGCATCGGGAAAGATGGTCTCATGGTGGATGATGATGGTCTTGACGATCTCGTTGACGTGGGCCTGGCAGGAGACCTGGTCCAGGCTGTCCGGTGTGGGCATGAGCGTGGGGCCGTAGCATATGGCCAGGTTGTACGGGTCCATCATGTTCTCGTCGCTGTACTGGGACAGGCTGGAGAAAGGAGGGGAGGAAGTAGGAGATTAAACAGACAGAGGGAACAAGGAGAGCGAGTTTAGGCCCGAGTGAGAGGACGTTGCCTGTGGGACTGTATTTCCGATCAAAGGAGAGTGACAGACTCTCCCTTGGGTGGATTCACTGGTCTGTGAGCTTACTGGTTGAGGAAGGCGAAGAGGTAGCGCATGACGACGAGGACGGATCTGGGAGTGGTCAGAAGGATCTTGCGGATGTACAGCGCTCTCTCATACAGGTTTTCTATTCCTAGTGCAGCAAAAAGAAAGACAAGGTAGGGTGTAAAAAACAGTGACGTCCAACCTCATCTACAAGATGATCATCATCACACCGAGTCACAACATAGAAGAGCCAGAGCACATTGAAGATTTACTAATGCAGTGACATAACATGCGTATTTTAAGTCTCTGATGGTGACCTTCACCGTGTTCCTCCGCTGACACCACAGTGGAGGAACAAAGCGATTTTCAAAAGTACCTGACAATGGGGACGAAAAGTAGTTTTTCCTCTTGTAAATGAAAACAGCATCTCCCCAAAAAACCATCTTAGCATTTCACCGTTTTCTCCTGCGTCACAGAAGTGAGGACATTGCCAACTAATGGTTCCCTCTTTGTCAAAAACAGACATAGACATACCAGGCTGACGACATCTTTCATCACTATCTCATTTGCTCAGCTGGGGCACTTGAAGCGCCCCGTTCTATTTGGCTGAGCTTAACTGCTAAAAATAGCTACGTCCCCCCTCAAGCGACTATGAGCCATCTGGGATTTGGGCTTCTGGGATACTTTTAACGTATTTCATCTTTCGTGATTACCAAAGCTACTTTTGAGGAGCAACGCCAACAAACACGTGAAAAAACACCCCCGGAAAAAACATCCCCGCTGAAAGTTCCCAAATGACGGATATCAGCTGCGGTAAGAAGTACACAGTCGACGAGAAGCAGTTAAGTAGAAAAGTGATCTTGTAGCTGATCTGAGCTGCTCCATAAAGGAAAAGGCGGAGGGTTTTTAATGTGGAGCCTGCTGGGCATTCAGCCCACACTGCAATCGCTGGCATGCCGAGCTGTGGAATGTAAACAGGGAATCCCCCATCACTCATCCTGCACCCATGTGTGGAAGTACACCCAGGAGCCACTAAGCAGTGAGCACACAAAAGCCTGCATGAGCATGAACACAGACACACAGCTGAACAAGGCATTGCAGCACATGTTGTGTCCATGTGACTTGGTGCATGATAAAACTACTGTTATTAAGCAATAATGTGTGTGTGCGTGCTTACTGATGCTGGACAGCAGATCGTTGAACCTTTCCTTGGGGAACAGTGGGTTTTCCAGACCACGGAAGTATAGTTTGAGAACGCCAGCCACCGAGTTGATGTCATGATTGTTCTCGTCATCCGTCAGGGGGTCATTGCCTTAAACACAGCGAGGGAAGCAGGTCAGCTGGCTTTCCTTAATTATTAAAAATTGCACATGGTTTAATGTGGTGTACATGTGAATAACAACTCCAAAAGCAGACTAGCTAAATACGCTCATTATAACACGATAAAGTCGACACAAACCTCTTTCGAAAGAGTTCTTGATGTCATTGACTTCCAGCTGGGAGCCAGATACCCGAAATATTCCTTGATGTTGGAGGCCTGCAAGTGAAAGAAAAAGACAGACGGTGAAGAGGAAGTAAGAGGACAGACACGCATAAATCCACTCAGAAAGAAACCTCACCCGCTGTGCAAATGAAACCTACTTTAGTTGGACTTCAAAAAGGAACATCATGGTCGTTAAGCCCCTTCACTTTTCTAATTAATGATAATTAATGAGTCAGGGAGGTCGCAATCAAGCAGTACTCGAGCGTCTTCCGGTTTGGATTTGGAGTTAATAAGGAGTGAGGTCAGGGGTCACAGGGAACTAGAATTGGTCTGCTTTTCATCTCTTTTGTATGGCCCGCTGCTGGACGACCATGACAACTCCCACAGTCCCATCGTCAATGCCTAATGTCTGCATGCATTCATACAGTGTACAAATTCATTCATTCATACAAATCTTTTAAGTCATCGCTCGTGCCGGGCTAAGCTGCCTGTCTGTCTGTCTGGCAGTGTGTTGGGGAAACTGATGTAGTGTCACTTTTTAAGTCACACACTTGGCTTATGAGAATTCATTCACGATCACTTTAACGAAGTGACGACAACAAGCAACTCACCATACAAATTTATGAAGCGAATACAGCTTTCTACCACGCGGGGAATAGCTTGTCCAGAGTCCTTTGAAGGCAAAAAACACCCACATTTATAAAACCAACAAATTCATTAATTATGGCAGCTTACATTATTCTTTCTGTACATTTGACGATATCGGTCGGGCTCACAGAAACATGATGTTAAAGGTGTGTAAACACACACGTACCCAGTGTAAGTGAAGTTGGTGAGTTTACAGACAAAGTGACAGTTATTCTTGAGACAGACTGAGGCGACCAGCAAACTATTTCTTCATGCAAAGTTTCCAATAATAATCATGAACTATCAGAAAACATACAAATATTACTGGCTGGCTACAACAAGCATCCACAAACCGGCTGTCCAACACATTTTGATTGACCTGCGGTGCTCCTAAATATACTATATAAGTGGTGTTACGCTAGCAAACAAGTGCACGCTGTACTTAAAGGAGAGGCGCTTATCTAGAGAGCCACACACTCTGCATGGAGCTGTGTGCGCAGACAGATGAGAGGAGCAGCACCTTCTCGTTGGGAGGATGAGCATTCCTTTAACGCACTTAAGAGATGGACTCAAACCGTGTTGTGCCTCGCTGCCAGCTGGTGAGTGCTGGACAGGGACCGGCTACATGCCTTTATTGATACAGTGGATCTGTTAACAGCCCTCGGGTGTATTCATGCACGGTCCAAACACAGTGATCGTGGCAAAATCGAGTATGGATCAGAGCCGTGAGCACTGGTGCAGCAGGATCATGTAATACTAAGTGGTTCATGCCAGGTAAAAGCAATGAAACTGAAGATAACATTTGCTGCAACATCTTTGTTAATGGAGAAAAGCTTCTATTCAGTCCACTTCAGTCTGTTCAAAAGAAGTTAAGAAAGAAAATACAGCAAACACAACAAGATAGTAGAGGGTTGTTAGGGCAGGACAGATGGAGGAAATGAACACAGGCAAGCAGCGAGGGACCAACCCCAAAACGCTTCAAGGTGTCTACCTGATGTTGAGCGTGTGAGTTCCGTCGTCCCCGGCTACAGAGAATTGTCGCAGAGAAACAGAAATAAGAGAGAAAAGCAATACCCAGATTAGGACCAGAGCAGCTGCCCACCGAAGCTTTTACCCTCATTCAAAACCCCAAAAGGAAACAATGGGAAGTGGACCAGACGCGGCCAACAGCGAGGAGGAGGAGGACGCACAACCTATCAGTCTGGCTTCCTGCTCCCTGACTGCCGTTCGTTCCGCTCTGTTCTCTGGCTCTCTTGCTCTGGAGACGGGAGGCAAGAAGCTCTAGGGGGGACGGGGCGGACGCCAGGTCAGCAGGGAGTCAGGGGAGCTGACCGAGTGCCATTCCTCTCCTCCTGCGGCCCCCACCGGATCAATCAGAGCCACCCCCCCCCTCTCATGTCAGACCCAGGCGACCACTGAGCTCGTAGACTCATGAGGAAATGTCTCCACAATCCAAACAACTGCGTTGTTGTTTTTGTGTTAGTTTGCCGGTAAAACAAAGCTGAAGTGCTTTGGGGGAACCCACCAAAATGGCCAGAAAGCTAGAGCAAGACAGAAATAGATAGGAGGAGGAGTGACGTCAGGCGGGCAGACTGGTAATGAGTACCTTGATAAATGACTCCAAATTGCCATTAAACAACCTAACATTAAAAACTGAGCGGGGTCTAGCCCGCCGGGTGCCGGTGAGGGTTTTGAATGGCCCATTGGGATGTCTAGAATACAAAGAATGCATTAGAATAAGTAAACAATGCAGTGTTCTTTTCACAGTGGTTTACAGATCCTCACGTAACCTCTATGTTCAAAAACTAGAAGTGAAGTTGAGCTAACCACTGAAACCCATAAATTCACTTTTTCTGTCCTGATCCTGTCTATTCTTTCTTCTCACAACATCACAGGGCAGTGAAATAAAACCGCTGAGAGCGATGGAAGTGTCCGTGCTTTCTTGGTATATAAAATATGTGTTTAAAAGGTTCTGCTCAGAGTTACATAAATGTCTGGTTTTGTCTGACCAATAGTCCAAAACCCCAAAAGACATTCTGTATACAAAACCAAGAAATACAACAAATCTTCAAATTGGAGGAGCTGAGAGTAATGATTTTGTGCCAAACAATAAACAATTATCAAAGTAGTTGCTCACTGACTATCCAATGCCATGGCTGATAAATGTTATAACTCTGCGGCATCGTACCACGTTGGGCTAAAAACAACATGGAGGCCGGTACTGCTCGGTGCGCTCTATTTATTTTTTTTGTAGTTAGTTTTTTCAGAGTTCAACCAGCTCATCTGTCCACAGTTGACAAGACATAAAATGTCAAGAGGCAAACTGTCCTAGCTGCAACACGTCGCTGGATATACGTGTCTCGGATATGCCCCCCCCCCCTCCCCGTCGTGAAGTGTGTGCGTGTGCTTCACCTTGTGGTCATGTAGTCCGCTCTGTGGCCTGCGGATGAAGAGGAGAAGAGAAGTGAGGGGAAGTTAGATGTGCGGACATGCCGGAGCCTGTCTCCAAGGTCCCCGCGGTGCATTCTGAGCACGGCTAGTGGAGCATCTGACGCCTGCCATCTTCAGCAACATGCACGCATGCACACATACATACATACAAAACTGCTCACAGCTTTAGCTACAGCACATTGACTGAAAGAGACCACACTTTGGTCACATCAAAATAACAATACAAAACAAACATCCGCTAGGCACAAAGTTTACAACTCAGGCACAAAGCCTCACCGATCACTATGGAAACACACAGACAGGTTGAGAGCGGCAGAGTAAGATAAAGCACATAATGGCTTCTAAATGTTTTTTTGGAGCGAACGTTTGTGTGGCCATCTGTTCCCTTGAACAGGATCTGACCCGTCTGGGTGTCTGGGTGAGTCATGCTGCAGTTCAGCTCATTGACAACAATGATAAAGGAGCGTGTGGGAGAAGCAGGAGGCTTTCCTCCTCCTCGTTAGCACACGCCTCCATTAGTCATTAAGGGGGCCGTTTGATTCAGTGTGTTTACATGATGGTATAATTGGAATCTTTGCTTAGTCGGACTATGCTATCTTTCGGGGGGAGGTGCTATTATCCCAATATAAATGGCAGTGAATAAATCGAATCATTGGCCGGTACGATAGGTGGCGCTGTTTTCATTACAACTAGTTGTGATACAGCCATTTCCGCTTGACCGCTTCACCACTACCAACAACAACCAACAACAACAACATCAACGTTACGAGAAAGATGGCGAACGGAGAGCAAGGTGAAGCTACGTCCCTCTACTATTTGTGCATGATGCTAATAGGAGCACAGCGAATGCGAATGGCGCTATTGGCTGATTTGATAACGGAGAGAAGACGCCGTCGGGATCTCAAGCATGCGCAAAGACGCAACGTCCAGTTCCTTATCCGATTCACCGTTACATGCCGCAATAGTCGAACTATCAACTGGATCGGATTGAGTTATCCAGGGGTGTTAGTCGGATCGTAGTCGGACCGCACATAGTCGGACAAAGGTGTTTACATGAAACGGATAATTCGATTTCAGTCCAACTAAGCCAGTTATTCGAATCCATGTAACCACGCTGACTGAGAACACCAGGAATGCTGGTTGGAACCATGACTGACTGACTGACTGACTGACTGACTGACTGACTGACTGACTGTGGAGCAGCTTGAGGAGATCGCTCCGATGCAGCACACCGTAAATGACCACCGCCCATCTAATGCATGGCGGGGCATTAAGTGGGGACCAAATATATCACTAAGACGGATAATGCAAGTTAAAAATCTATTGGAAGTACAGCCGACATACTTTAGCTGGAAGAAGGCGACAAACAAACTTGGGGAAAGTGGATTTAACATTGAGGGGAACAGTGGTGCTATCGAAGTAAGCTTGACTGTACCTTCACCAAGTGTCCTCTTCAGCAAGTCGTGTTTGGCCTGCAGTTTGGAGATGAGATTACTGCCCTCCAGAAACTCCCGGAATTTCTGTGGAGAATTGAGAGTATTTACACGGCGGCCCCGAGTGCCAGCCAGAGCACTCGCTCTTAAGACAGCAATCTGGGATAAGAAAGACGAGGGCAAAGGACACCGAGAGTCTTTTCAAAGCTTTTATCAGAGCACATCTTCACACTAGAACACGATTGCGGTTAGCCTTCCCCTCTGCCAGCTGATCAAATATGTGGGGGCTCATCGCATGATTCAGACTTTTGAGTCCAACAAAATTTACATGCAAAGATTTAGCTTTTTAAAATCTCTGTATTTTGGTGACAAAGTTGTGTAAAACGAATTTAAGCATATAATGAGACAAGAGAACTACGAGATGTCCTCTCCTTTTAAAACGCCCATGCCCATGAGAAAGCCTCCTCTTCGCTTGGACATCTGCACTCACCATGAAGTAGAACTGCTCGGTCTCCTGCTGGTTGGCCCTCCTCTTGGCGATGCTGGGCTTGCTGAGGTACGTCTCTGACACTGTGGACTTGACAGACTCTGTTGATCGGCTGTGGTGGAAACACTCGGACACGTCGTAGTCCTCGATAGTGACGATGTCCTGGATCGTGGTCAGCGTGGCCTCCGACGTCTTCTTGATCTGGTGATGCAAAAAGGGAGACGGGGGTAGAAGAAGAGTTGTTTCCTGTCAGAAATGTCCTGATTTATTCTAATAACACTTATGACCTAAAACGTTATTGAAAAGACATTTGAAACATTTTACGTTGTCATTTAAAATCCTCGGTCTGTACAGGGTCAACACAGCGACCATTCTGTCTGGCGTATAATTAACTCATTGACCCAGTTAAGTCTTGAGTTTAGCTAAACTAATATCAATATGGGCCATTTGGGATTTAAACAATTGCAGAACAAACAGACCCAGGAAGAGAAAGAGATGAAGATTGAATATGTTAAGAGGATGCAAGCAGAGAGGAGGAAGAGTCTAGAGACTCAAGCATGTGAGCAGGAATTACTGATGTGGAAACGCTGCAGAGGGAAAGAGGTCATGCTGATGTAGAAAAATAATATTTACACGTGAATCAAAAGTTCACCTAATGGACGTGATTTTACTCTTTACTTTTTACCCAGCCCTTTAGCAGCCACGCTATTTCAACCGCTTTGTACGACAAACCAACAATGATGTAGTGATACTCGAGCATGCAGCAGACAGATCTAAACAATGGGCAGAGAAGCATCAGAGCAGCACTGGACGGATTTGTGCAAATAAGAGCGAGAGTGAATTCTACCGATGGGAACTGAAATGGAGGCTTCAGAGAGGTTTGATGGCTACCTGCAGGGCATAAAGTGTGTCTGTGTGTGGGAGGGGGAGATATGCAAAAGAACACTTTGATTCTTCAGACATCAGCAGCAGCTGTTTCTTGTTTTTCACCTTGGGTAACTTCAGGCTGAAGTAAACTTTTACTTTTTAGTAGCTGTAAAGTTCTCGTCATCAACAAAGAGCAGCGTGACAAAACTCCTTGTCAGTAAACAATGCCGGAGCGGCAGAGAATAGTTTTTACATGTCTGAATCCCACAAGCCACAATTACCTGTGTAATTGAGATGCACCAATCAATCAAACAAAATTGTCCGTTTAACAGCTGATTGGTCGTAACCGCTGACCAGCAAATCAGTATCTAATATTTTTTTGTCAGCTCGTCGTTACCTCCTCGTTCTCTATCTTGAGGGTAGCCAGGCGGGACTGAAGCTGCTGGAACCTCAGGATGAGCTCTCCATTCATCGCTGGCTGCACCGAGATCTGACACACCTGAAAAAAGAAGAAATAGAATTAGAATAGAAATACATCGTAAATAATCGGGATCCCTCTGAAGGAACATCCTGTAACCTCTGGTTTAAACAAGTCACGGGGCTCATCTTCAAAGGCAGAGCAAACCACGAAACTTGAAACTCATAAGCGTATGGCTTATTTTTGGAGGTTTAGTTCAGTTCATCGTCGCTGCTCCATGTGTTCTCAACTACTACGTACCTCGTCTCCCATATGAGACTGGAACTCAAATTTTGCCGGTGGGCAGAAGGCTGTGGGGAACATCTCCATGAACCTCTGGCGGTCACTCCGCGGGTCCAGACTGTCCACGGCGTTCTCTATGATGTCGAGACCCTCGTGGCGTGACGTCTCCAGGTTGTATTCGGCCGACAGGTAGGTGCGCAGGGCCCGGTTCAGGCTGGCATGGTACCCCAAATCACAGCACTGGGAGTGAGGAAAGAAGAGGGTCAAGAGTTTTTCAGTTATCACAAAAGTGGATAAGCTGCTTTAGTTTGGTGCTGCACTGTAAATTCTGTCCAGAGAACTTTTAAATCAGGCCCAGCAGTTCGCTGGTGCACTTTATTTTTTAACTTGAACTTGTATTACTTTATTTTAAACCCATAGCCTTATACTACTAACCCATAGCATTATATTTAATTTTATTCCTCGTGCACTGTTGTCATTGTACTGTCTGCTGTCAAATACTACTACTTGTCTGCCGCCAAGTCAAATTCCTTGTATGTCTGACATATTATGGTAACAAATGTTTCCGGATTCCTGATTCCTAAAGTCACCAGTGTCTCCTCTGCATTTAAATCAATTCTGTCTGAGGAATAATGGGTCTCCACTATGAGGAACACAGAGAAATGAAATCTACCTAAAGTGACAACAACGTCAGTGTCCTGTTTATGCGAGGACGCCTCCACAACAGGGCGGACACAAGCGTGATGTCACATACTCACATCGATTAGGTCCGACAAGTCGTGGATGTAGTATTTGAAAACGGAGGAGTTTGACGCTTCCAGTGTCAGGAGGTACTCGTTCCGCGCTTTGATGGACTTCAGCTTGTTCTCGGTGTACTTGGCTTGGCGCTGTTGAGAGAATTGAGAGGTGTAAAATGAGAAAAAACAATAACTGAGCGACAATAAGTTTATTTAATGCGTGGAGAATTTTTGTGCTTTTGTACACGTCTCTACATGGAGAATGGAGGTTAGTTACATAATGTCTAAAAATAGCAACAAAAAAAAAGGAGGAGGAACGGAAAAAATACAAGGCTAAACTAAAAACAGCCTGCGTGCTACAGTTCAAACAGATACCATCAACTTCACACTGCCCTTCCTCACTACCAGAGCAACACGAGGCTGCTGCACAGTGACCATCCGTTGACCGACGGGCGCCGACTCTGACACACCGAACAATCGTTCATATTTTTAACACAACCCAAGAGACATCCCAGGAAGGGCGGCGTTCAAAAAGCCATTGGATTATTTGTCACAGGGTTCCAACAGAGAGCAGGCCTGTTCTGAGAAAACAAAGCCTGCTCTTTGGCCGCGACAATGCGTTCAGTGTGTTTCGCTGTACTCGGGTCAGCAGGACATCTTTGAGCGAGTCGTGGAGGGTTTTTTCTTTCTTTTCAATCAATCGGTCATTTTGTTGTGTTCAAGACTACCAAATGAAAACCCCTGATGAAAAAGTAAACGAATTAACCAAATTTCAACGCAATTGTCTGAACTGGATTCTAAGTGTGAAGGGCGTACCTTCTCTTTCATCTTCTCGATCTTTTTCACAGAGCTGCGCCTCTGGTATTTGTCTTCCATCCGGATGCTGAAGACCTGCTCTCCTCTGCTGATCTGCTTCTCCTCCTGCTTCTCAGCCTCTTTCAGCTTGCTCTCGGCGCTGATGCTCTCCGAGTGGTACATGTGGTACGTCTTCATCACCTGGAAACAAACAAAAAGGGTTGAAATATTCATCATAAACAGTCTTCGTTGTTGCAGTTGATGCAAGTTGATTAGCTCATCGTCATGCGCTGATATTTAAGGATTTCCGTCCCATGTGGCACCCTGGTGGCTCTCGTCATCAGCATTCATTTCTGGTTCACATGCAGAATCATATGCTTCTTATACAACTTAAATAGAAACAAATCTTTTAGTGAAGGTCATAATGGAAGATAATCAAAACCGCTTCCGCCTCTTATGTCATCACACTGTAGCTATTCGGCACAAGGGAAGTGCCTTACCGTCATGGTGAGCGGCCGATTAGAACTATTTCCTCCAGTTTGAGTCACCGACCTCCAGAGACAGCGTTACTCATACATAACATGGAACCATTGGGGAGGGTGACTCAATCGTTAAGTAGCAGGTAGACGAGCAAACACAAACAATGAGCTCTTCACGAGAGCTGTGGTCTCATTAACAGCGGCTCAGGTCACCGGGGAGGACGGGGGACCGGACAGATGTGGGGGCTCTGAGGACAGACTAATCATTGTCTGTGGGAGAAATATTGGGTCCATGATGCCAACACGTGCATTGAAATGAACAATTGTGTAGATTTTATTTAGTATTTAGACAGAATGCACATCATTTCCCCTAATGGAATTCTGGTGTTGTGTATGCAAGAATAAAACTATTAAAAAGAAGTTTTAAATGTTTCAGCGATGTCAACTGGAACAAAAAGCTAACTTGTGACATTCTTCTGGAAAGACACACAAACAGCTGGCAGAGCAATGAATTGGAAACAAAAACACATAAAATACATGACAGAAAAAGGCGTCAATATACGACATCTGGGTTTAACCTGGAATTAAACTAACCAATAAATTACAGCCTTAAACCCGATATATACAGTCCCTTGTTTGCACAAGACCTCAAGTTCAGCACAAATAGCGACTCGCACATCCCAGAATCTAAACATCGTTCAGTTATTTCTGTACGAGTGGAACAATGAAGCAAAGCCAGACCTGTCTGGAGCCCTCTGCCTTGGGTGGGGTTTGGCCTAACTGGAACCAGTTCAGAGATGGGTGACTGCCTTTGGGGCCTGTACGCCTCACTTACTGCTCTGGAGTCCGCCGCTGCAGTGTTTACTTTGCCGTTTCCTTTAGAGGGACGTATTTAGAACCGGAGCAGACCTGTTATTTCATTGGCAGAGGTTGACTTCGGGACTGCGGCTGTCTGATGCAATAGCTACTCGGATTGTATGTGTGCATGTGTTATCGCGCATGTGTCTTCCCACAGGGGCTAAACCAGGTCAAATGTGGTGTGGACTGTGGTGTGAGTAACGCGCATTGAGCTCAGAGTAACACGTTTGTTGTGTTGGAGCAGCACGACTATCGACTGGAAGTATAACCTCGGTAATACTCGCACAGAGCTGCGTTCCACTCAATGCCTTATTACCCGCCCGTGCTAACTGCATGTCAACTTAGCAAGTCGGCTAGCGGGGCATTAACCAAAGTGGAATCAGCTATATATCCATCATTCTAACTGCATTTCCCCAGTTTAGAGTTTCACACGGACTGAACTACTTACAGCAACGGCATTGAACACAGGGGAGGAAATGAGAGCAACTAGCCCCCCTCCCCACAAAATAATTCATCCTCAGGGTTCAAAGGTCGGCAGTCACTGCCAAAGCTTAACATTATGTGTGTGGCCCTGCATGAATTTGTTTTGAAGAGCAAGAAAACTAAGCTGATGAGAGCTATTAAAACAGGACAGCACAATGAGTTACGCGAACATAATACCTCAGTTTTCCGGTTAACTTTTTTTGTAATGCTATATAAGAGATTAGATAAGACTTCCTGTACAGTTTGAGGAATCACTTCAGTAGTTCGCGGTTTGCTTCCGAGTTCAGCACTTGATCCTTCCAACACCTTTAAGCTCAGAGGTTTAAGACTCCGAGCTGTAGTAGATGTTAACTTACAAATGTCTGGAAGTTAAGCGGCTCACTGAGGTAAACCCGTCTCACCCACATGTAACATACCTGCATCAGTAAAAGAAACAGGGCAGTCATTATTACTTACTGTGTACAGCTCATTTAGGACCTTCATTAAGTCTTCCTGCAGCTGAAAGGCTATTTCCTTGCTCTGAAAAAAAAAGAAAGAACAAACAATCAGACCATTACAAGACATTCCTAAAACACCATTATCAGTCTTCACCCCATTTAAATAGAAACAGTGGCTCTATTTGATCATCCCTGTCTGCAATGAATTAATCTAAAACACGGAAGCAACAACTTGTCTGTTAAAGGTTTTAGGGTTACTATATATTACGTTTTATTCAGATTATGGACAGACATTGACCCGGGGTTTGAATGGTACAATACAAAACAGTGGATTTATCATACTGTGTCAAATACGAGGTCGCTGACTGAAAGTGGTTTCAGCGTCAGAGCGGCTTTTCCATCGAACGCAGCTCGAGTTTCACCGTCCATGTGTTCAACGCATTATCTGGTTTGTACGTCTCAACGTGAAAGATTTTCCCCCTGAATATGTTAACTCAATCAGCCGTGCCACAAGGCTTAGGCTGGATGATGTTACTTTCTCTAACCCACTTATCCTTAGACAGATCTCATTCTGGGAGCCGCACCCAGGCAGAGGCTGTAAGAGGGTTCTGTGGGGGTATTGAACCACCCGGTGTGGTGAGATAGACGGAGTGACGATGAACCTCTGATGCAGTGTGGGGGGGTTAAAATGACCAATAGAGCTGGAGTGAGATTTCAATGAGTCGGTTTTAATGGTGTCCGGCATGTGTGCACACAAACGGGTTTTACGCAATAAGCAGAGCAAGCTAGCTGGCATACATTTATTGAGGACATTTATTGAGTACAGTTGCCAGACCCAACCCTAGATTTCAGAGGTGTTGCTTCATGCAACCTGTGGCAAAAGCAATGTGTGAGAAGTCCAACTTTGTAGAACCTGCAGGGTCCAGTATGCCAACTTCTCCAACTCAAACGCATGTCTTTGTCACACTGCATGCACGCAGTTGTTCAAGGCAATAAGACCCTACACGTTGGACTGCGTAGGAGTCACCAATGCCGCCTCTCGCACGAGGCTTCTGAAGTGTTGCCAACAGGTAAGAGGTCGCATGCACGCACGCACTCTTGTTCTTCACAGGTAAATCGGTCTGAGAATATGAATAGACAGCAAAGAGGATTAGCCTCTTGGCTGCTGGGCTGCTGTCTGAAATGAGGGCGGCCTGCTGCGTGACCTGTCTGGTGGGCAACGTCTTCCCAACCGCTACCTGGTTTGCCGCATTGCCGCTTTAGAGAGCAAACAGCCTGTAAGCCTGGATAACCAGCTTTGAACGCCAAACTTGGCAAAAGGCAAACACCGGCGTGTTGGGGAGTTCAGACAAGGGAACTACGCAAAAATCTCTGGAATTTGGTGATTTGCGGTTTGATCTGGTCCCGAGTTCAGGGTCGTTCCTTCATTGTGTCGCTCATAACGTGACTCCCATCACACACACCTAACGTCTTCTCAAACTCTCAATGTAATGCAGCAACACACACACACACACACACACACACACACACACACACACACACACACACTATACCTCAAATTACACAAAGTGATTCTCCCCCCGCCCCTCCCAGAAACCCTGACATGCATTGGGGGCCTTTCACTAAATGCCATGTAGCTCGATTATTTGATGGCATCAGGGCGGGGGGTTTCTAGTTCGGGCTAATTCATTGAAAAGATCACGCCATCTGTATTCCAACCCCATCAGGAGGATGAAACGTCCCCGGAGAGGAGACCCGTAAAACAGTAAAGGGTTAGCTGATGCATTTCATAAAAACAAGCATTTAAATGGCTGAATATAGTTTAACGATTTGGGAAATAAAGTTGTATTTACAAAGGAGTGAGAAGAGAATACGTCCGTTGCACGTTAATGCATCAAGTTAAAAAATCATAAATAAATGTGTGTTATGCCTTTTAATAGACATTTAGGCTTTTTATGGTAGGAGAAGCACAACTGTCACTAAGAACATAAAAAATGGCTCTGTTCTTTTCAGGCAAGTCATGCCATTGGGGATGGGGGGTCTGCAGGCACAATAGCTGCACCCTGAAACTGAAGCAAGCACAAGCTTTGGCTGAGAAAAGTTCCAAACTGCCTCAAGCTTTGGGATCTCCACCTCGTAGCTGCAGCCACAGAACGGGACTCCATGAACAAAACAAGTAGCCCGCTGTATGAATAATAACTGAATACAGTTCTAGTAAGCAAAAGGCACCCTGGAGAAAAGCTGCTGTTGTAACAGCCCAGAGAAGAGAGTGCAGGAAGGCTGAACAAATCTGGCGGAATACAAAACTTCATATTCACCATGACATCTATAAAGAGCGCCTCCGGGCCTACAATTTAGACTTAAAAAGTGCTAGGGAAACATTCTTCTCCAACATCATTAACAACAACACTAATAAGGCAAAAACCCTATTTGAAACTGTTGACAGACTGACCAACCCCCCGACACAAATACCACCTGAACTCCATTCCACACATCAAATGTAACGAGTTTGCGTTCTTTTATACTGATAAAATTGAAGGCATCAGACGCGCCATTAATATCTCAAACAAAAATGAGCCACCCTATTTAGGCAAAAGTAACACAGCAATGATGACACGCTTTAATGCCATAGACTCTCAAACTCTAGTGGAAACGGTGACAAATTTAAAACCATCCACCTGCTGTCTTGATGCTTTACCTACCAACTTCTATAAGAATGTTTTTGACTGCCTAGCAACAGACGTATTGCAAATAGTTAATAACTCTATTCAGACAGGCCATTTCCCAAAAGCTTTCAAAACTGCAGTTATTAAACCTCTCCTAAAAAAGAGGAGCCTAGATGCCTCTATTATCAACAACTACAAATCTACCTTTCATAAGTAAAATAATTGAGAAAGTTGTCCTACAACAACTTAATCACTTCCTGGCTTCAACTGGCTGCCACGACAATTTCCAGTCAGGATTTTGACCTCTTCATAGCACCGAGACGGCCCTTATTAAAGTTGTAAATGACATCCGTCTTAACACAGACTCTGGCAAAACTTCAATATTAATGATATTAGACCTCAGTGCTGCATTTGATACTGTCGACCACTCAATACTTTTGGACAGGTTGGAAAACTGGGTGGGGCTCTCAGGCACAGTCTTAAGCTGGTTCAGGTCATATCTACAAGACAGGAACTATTTTGTTTCCATTGGTGACTTCGTATCAGAAACAACCAACGTAACGCGTGGAATCCCCCAAGGTTCAATCTTAGGGCCGACTTTATTCAACATCTACATGCTCCCATTAGGACAAATCATGCAAAAAAATAAAATTGACCACCATTGCTACGCTGATGACACCCAAATCTATGTAGCGCTATCACCAAACGACTATCGCCCCATAGATCTTCTGTGACAGTGCATTGAGCAAATCAAAGACTGGATGTGTCAAAATTTCCTACAACTAAATGAAGACAAAACTGAGATCATTGTATTTGGTGCTAAAAAAGAAAGGTTTAAAGTAACCCAACACCTTCACTCTCTGTCCCTGAAAACATCAAATAAAGCCAGAAATCTGGGGGTTATTATGGATTCAGATTTACACTTGGAGAGTCACATCAAATCAGTAACAAAATCGGCTACCACCTCAAAAATGTAGCACGACTTAGAGGGGTCATGTCAGCTCAAGACTTAGAAACACTTGTACATGCCTTTATAACTAGTAGTCTAGACTATTGTAATGGTCTCCTTGCAGGTCTCCCAAAAAAAACTGTCAGGCAGCTCCAGCTTGTTCAGAACGCTGCTGCTAGAGTTCTAACAAAGACCAAAAAATGTGAGCACATTACACCAATTCTTAAATCCTTACATTGGCTCCCAGTATGTCAGAGAATTAATTTAAAAATCCTACTGCTCACATATAAATCACTACATGGTTTAGGGCCAAAGTATATCACTGATATGCTTCCACTACATAAGCCTTCAAGATCACTAAGATCTTCTGACACCAATCTGTTAGTGATTCCTGTTGGGGGAAAATTGTTGAGCCTGCGTGGGGTGAGGCTCTCAGGAATGTGACCTTTGATGTGAGCCGGTGACTTAAGGCAGTTCAGGGTGAGATAAGACACAGATGAAAACATACGTGCCCTGACTGACCTTTTAGATGTTGTTGATTGTCTGGGTCCATAAAGGGAGGGTCACAGGGTCACCCCTACATCATCTGCTACTTTTCCCACATTCCTCTTGAGGGGTGGGCTGTCCTGAGGCAGCACAAACCCCCCTAAGTGTATAAAACCTCCTGTTCTCCTCTTTGACTTTGTCAGATCTTCCTGCTCCTTTTGGGGGAAGGAACATCTGTCCCTTTTCAGCTGAATTGTAGTCACTTGACTCCTGTCTGTGCTTACGACTTGTGCTGATGATTTCTGTATTCTTTATCTTTTTCCTATATTCTAGTTAGTAATAAATACTTAATCACAAAGCAAGCTCAAGATACTTTTGATTTCTCACATGGGCTAAATCCACAAATTTCCACCACAAACTTGGCGACGAGGATGGGATGGACGCGTGATCTGGACTCTGACGGACGGACAGAAGGCCATTTAGTATAGGTGATTCCTCCCTGAGGGTGAGAAGCTGCCGTCCCGACGAGACTCGGATTGCCGATCCATCCAGTTCAAGAAAAGAAACGAACAACACGCGGTGAGAAATCAAAATTATTTTTAAGGCAGACAGAGTCATGACAAAAGGGTTTTAGGCCTATCTCACAACGAGTGTGTTGTAGACAGACGTGTCTGGGTCACCTGTAGTATTCGTCACAAGGTTGCAACATCCTGTGTCTGAAGTTCACAGGCGCGACTTTGGATCGATGCAGTAGACTGAGTGACCAGAGAAAGCAACGGTCAACTGACTTGCCTTAGTTATGCATGTGGTATTTCTCCGTTTGTGCGCACCTTTATAGGCGCGTACACTCCTTGTATACAGATACAGATAGCTAAATGGGTAGTGTTCAGAGTAAAGGGGAGACGGGTGATAACCATGAGACTAATATCCTGCCACTATTGTGTAAATTTATGTCAGAGCGTTATCCTGGCAGTTTGAATC